ATAAAAACCACAATCAAAAGGTTTCAAAATGAAACTTTTAATTTTATATATAAAATTACTATAAACCTACCATGACTATCTGCAAACTTTAAAAAAAAACAATATGAAAAAAAAAATTATCAAACACACATTGTCTAAAAGTACTGCATAACTATACGTAATCCCAAACACACCATAAGCCTTTGTAACTAAAAAATAAAGATCTTTAGAAATTCTGAAGTATACTTGGGTGAAATTATTGTTACACCTTATTTTAATAATGCAACACCTAAAAGTATAAATAGACATACTTACCCATATTCTAAAAATAATATTTTTCTCTTTCCAAACGACCCCTTTTTACTTCTTTTAACCTTCGCCACTGTAACCCTCTTTCTATTCCATATTTTTCCCTCTCCAAAAATAAATTTGACTTTATTTTTCTTTTTCTTTAGAATAATCAAGTTATTTTGACATAAAAAATATAGAAAATACAAATTCGAAATCAAATCATTCTTAATCACAATTGATAATGAAAATAATAAAAGAGTTATTTTTTCTATAGAATAATCAAGTCATTTTTCTTTAGATTTCTTGATAGTTGTTGTATATCCAATTTTTAAATAAAATCTTTTCTTGTTTTGAAGGAGATCATCATAAGTTCCAAATGATTTCTCAAACAACTAAAACATGTCATTTTTTTCGAATTATCTAGCACTTTGATGATTTGTATTTATCTCTTTAGATTTCATATTAAATCAATGTAACAATTAATCTGCAATGTAAAATAATAACTTTAACAACAAAAATAAATGTCCAACCACATATATTAAAAAACTCATTAAAAAATAAAAATTTAGCAATGTATATAAAAAGAAAAGAAGAAGAAGAAGAAGAAAAACAGAAGAGGGTGGCCATGAATTTACCCAAGGAGGATGGCTTACGGCTTACCACAAATTAAGACAAGATGGCTTTGAAAACAAACGAACAGGAGAGGAGGCTATGTGCGGCAATTAAAAGATGAAATAGAAATAGGGTTACAGCGGCAAGGGTTAAGAGAAGTAAAAGGGGTAGTTTTGAAAAGGAAAAATTATTATTTTTTAAATTATGGGTAAATATATCAGTGCATAATTTTAGGTGTGATATTATCAAAATAGAGTGGGACAATAACCTCACTCAATATACTTAACTATAGCAGAATGTATATAAAAGATTTTTCTAAACTAACTATACCATATATACATATACCATGGAGATTTAAATAATTCAGTGGTACTTTTTTTCTACTGAAAGTAAAAAATTTTGAATTTGAGTCGTATGGCATGAAAGTGGAGTGAGATAAGAGATGAGAGAGAGTTATCTCCTATTGTGCAACTAACTTAAAAAAAAAAAAAAAAAAACCTATACCGTGTGTGTGTATATATATATATATATATAAGATGGAGGTTGAAAGAGGGGTGGGTCTGAGCAGAACCATGGACCGGGCCGAACAAGTAAGGGTAAATATTAGGCCTGTTAAGTAAAGATGATCGACACAAGCACACACACACGTAGGAAGGCCCAAACACGCAGTGTCAGAGGGTCTGATAGGGTTTCCAACGTACCTATATAAGTACAGG